TTTTCCAGAGAGGCATAGATTCCTAGATATACACACACCTGTCGAAGAATGACCATTCAGCACTCCTGTTTCCTTTCCTTGGGGTTACAATCAAAATTGTCTTCTCAGTCCCCTGGCTCCTGGGGGTCTTTTGCCTTAGGCTATGACACTTCCTGATGGTTAATAATGTTTTAAATGACTGCAATTAGAAAGGCTTGAAAGGTTTTTCCTTTACTCTGGCCAGTCTGATTTCAGAGAGGAGGCAACTTTGGCACCGTCCATCCCACTCTGTGGTAGTTAAATAGCCTGTGCCAAAAGCAACTCCTTGGGATGAAAGGACCCCATGGTCTTTCTGTTTGCACAAGCGTCTTTGTCCAGCCCAGTCTGCTTAGGCCATCTGCATTTATAACCCTGGTTCCCCTGCTGATTGACAACATTGTCAGATCAGCAGGAGAGTTAATAAAACCAACAGGATTTATTTATGAGTTTCTCCAGATAACAGCTGAATTCAAGATGTGAGGGCAGAATAAAGTATCCTCAGTGTTATGGATGGTAGCTATTTCAAACATTCCTGAGAGGCCAATCATTTGTCTACCTTTAAACTACCACCACCACCATCACCAGCACCACATCTAATGCATTGCTAAATCCTGTTGATTCTACCTAGAGAAAACCTCTTACACCTGTCCCGTTCTCTCACCTTGCAAAACTGCTAGCCTGTTTCAGTTCCTCATGGCCTCTTGCCTGGACTGCCTTAATAAATAGCCTCCTAACTGTTTACCCTACCTTCAGTCTCTCTTCCTGCTCCCTTTGCCTATACCTGTCAATCCAGTCTTCAATATTTCACCATTTCTATTATCTCATCATGTGGGCAGTCTCTCCAGTGCTACAGATGACAACCTATCTGTGCTTTTTCATCTTTTTGTGACCCTTTGTGCATGTCCTTCTACAAATCATCTTAAGATGAGTACTCCACATAATGTGCCTTTCTCTAGGTCTCATAATACTACTTTAAATACTGCTATGTAGCTATCAGTACAGCATGGAAGCTATGCTGATCACCTGCTTGTTGACCCTTGTTTTCACTCCATGACTAGCCCATATCCATGTTTAGTCACATAGCTCTTTGATTTTATCTTTTATATCTTATTAAGGTCAATTACTATGTTAGTAGCAATTTATACACACAGTTTCCAAAATAAACTTTCTAAGCAAAGATCTCATCACACTCATGCCCCCAAATATTCAGTAGTTCTTTATTACCACTAGGTCCAAATATAAATTTCCTAAACTGTCCTCCATGGGTGCATAGAAGGATCAACCTAGACTAGGAAGGAACCTCAGAGTTCTGTCATCTGTAGTAGTCTAACCCCTTAACTTTTTTACAGATGAGATTAAGACCCAGGAAGGTAAATACCTGCCCATGCTCACCCATGTAGTAAGCATCAAAGGAGGAATTGGAACCAAGGTGCACCAGACCCAGCGCTTATTCCATTGTGCCGAGTTGTATTGTTTTCCAAACTCTTCCACTGTATACTGCACAGCTGTTATTAACACCAGTGTTCCAGCTAAATTAGAATATAAACTGTTCGCCTAACTTGAGAAAACTGGTGACAAAGTGCAGAGAATATTGGCCTAGGAGTCAGGAAGATTTCAGTTCATGCTTCAGACACTTGCTAATTGTGTGACCCTGACTAAGTCATTCACTTTTACTCTACATCTGTAAAATGAGCAGTTGGATGCAGCAGCCTTTAAGGTCTTTTTTGGTGATGGTCCTGTGACATATTAGGATAGCTCGGTGGTACAGTGGATAGAGTGCTGGGCACTTGCTAGCTCAGACACATTACCTGTGTGATCCTGAGTAAGTTACTTAGTCCTGTTTGCCTCAGTTTCCTCATCTGTAAAATAAATTGGAGAAGGAATTGGCAAACTACTCTAATATCTTCGCCAAGAAAACCCCAAGGGGGAACATGAAGAGTCAGACACAACTGAAATGACTGAACAACTATGGTATGTTGGGTGGCACTTGCTTACATTTACACCAGTACTCAGGCCCAGGATGAGCCTCTTCTTCATGTATCCTTTTTAGGTTCCTTTTCTTCCCTCAAGGCTCTGATAAAAGGCCACTTCTAACATGAAGCATTCTCTGATTGCCACCAAACCGAAGTGTTTCTTTCTCAAAATTTTCTAGAGAGCTTTATCCGGTATTGCCTTTACCCTATCCCATTCTCTCTTCTGTCTGTTTACCTGTAGTATCTGACATTGCCCTATCTATTATCACTTAAACCTGTTAAAAGGAATGACTGTTCATTCATCTTTGTATTCCTAGCACCTTCCATGATGCTTTGGACATAGGCTTTAGTAAATGCCTGTTTATTGAGTCAAAGTGCTTTCGGAATAGACACTAGGGATTCTAGACTACTGACTGAAATGCTTCTATCACCTACTTTGGCTGTGGAACTTAACTACTGAAGAGCACACTCTCTCCTGCTTCAGTTCTGAACACATAGAAAAAAAGGTCAGCTGTAGCAGCTGCCTCATACTTTCCCTAAAGGTAATTGAATTAGTGCTAAAGGAAAAGTTATAGCGGAAGAGCTTTCAGCTCGCCTTTAGCCTTATCATTTTTCTTTTTTTGGTTATGGGTGAGAATAATATTTGAAAGAAAGAGAAAGGGGAAAGAGACAGGAAAGGAGAGGCTGCCTTTGTCCCATGCGGTGTAGTCTGACCTCATAACATTTTCTTCTCGTCAGCTTCATTTTCTTCTTCTGAGAATTCAGCAGCTTTCTTTTCTTCTTGGGCTCTTATAAGGATTAATTTCTAAGGAGGATCACTAAATCTTTTACAAATGTTTAAAAAAAATAAAGATGTGCCCAAGAAAAGCACACTTATTAACCACCAAACCAGCATGATGGTTTCCAAAAAATATTTGCCCCCCAACTGATCTGAATATATTTCAATGCTATTCTCAAAGACAATTATTAGGATGTGCTGAGGGAAACATAGATTTTTGTTCTATCAATAATACATGTTTGTTTTGGGCTCTGGAATGGATGGATGAGGGCTTGATTTTGTAAATGTTTCCTGGCTTCAGCTTATCAAGTTTGGGTCATATTTACTTAGAATGCTAATAATTTTGGAAATTATTAAACGAGGACCCAGAATGCTTTCCTTTTAAGAGACCACTGAAAACTCAAATCGCTTTGTAAATATAATGAGATAATTAAACATAGCAGTTTAAATATTTCATGTTTGCCATGAACCTCTTGGAGGTGTGACTGTTTTTATATGTATGTTACGTGCATAGAAATAAAGCGGTATAGAAAAAGACCTTTAAAAACTTGGCCCAAGATTTTAAAAAATATCATTTGCTAAAATAAAAAAGAAAAACTTTCGTCTTCTTCCTCATCTTCAATTCTTCACTTTCCCTTGCCTTTTTTTCCCACTCTCTTTCTTCGATGAAAGCTCACTAGATACTTTTATATCCATAGTCATCATAATTATGTCTTTATTTAATGTCCATTTTCATGCATTGCTAAACTAGGTACTACACCAAGCTTTCTTTGATTTTCCTATTGGAAAGAAGTGATAATGACAAAAAGATTTAATTAGGATATTCATCAAAGATTTCTATGAATATTTTGCCTGTTATGAAAGAATAATAATAAATATTTGTTGAATTTGTTCTGTTAATTCAATGATATACAGGATCTCTGAGTTGGAAAAGACCATTGAGATTAATCCAGCTAAACCATGTAACTATTGTGTTTTCCTAAGGAGACAGAATGATAGAGTGGACAGATCTGCAGGGAGGTCAAAGGAACTTGGTTCAGCTCCCACCTCTAATGTGGGAGCTTAGACAAGTTAACTTCAGTTTCCTCATTCATAAAATGAGAGGGTTTGACCTCAGAGATGGCCTCTGAAGTCTCTTTTACACCTAGATCTATGATCCTCACCTTCTACTCTTCACTCTAAATATTTCTGCCCTCATCCTACCAGTTTCTTTAACTACTTTTCATACAATGTCCATTTCTACGTATTTATGCTGCGCATCTTCATTAAACATCTCTAAAGAGCAAAGATACCATTTATCTCATGCAATACCCAGAATAGTAGAGTAAATAAAATAATTCTTAATCAGTACTTTGGAGGATGATAATAATAATGCTTTCATTTGTGGAAGGAAATAGAAGTAATTTACAGGAAGAGGTAACAATAACAATAATTAATAGTTTATATTTAAGTAATGCTTTAAGGTAATTCCTAAATGTATCATTTTTCCATTTTATAGATGAGAAAAGGGAGGTATATAAAGGTCAGTTTGCACATGCTTGTCAATTAAATCCCGAGAGAAGTTAGTTACTTTAATTTTTTAATTCACTGGCCCATTTTAATTTTTCCTTACAGAGTAATATCAAGGACATTGCAATTTTTAAATTGTTCTGCAGGTAGTCAATATCAGTTTACTTGTTCCATGGCCTCTGTTACAATGAATGGATGATATTAAGTGAACTTGCCTTAGGACCCCTGGGATTTCCCCTTTCCTAGAATTTTCTTCTTCCTGACTTTCACCTCCTGTCTTCCTTCAAGTCTCAGTTAAAATTTCAACGTCAGCAAGAAGCTTTTCCTACTCCTCTTCGATGCTGGTACTTTCCCTCTGAATTAACCTCCCGTTAGCCCTGTATAAATTTTGTACAATCAAAGTTATTTGCGTATTGTTTCCTCTAATAGTGTGTGCACTCCTTGAGAGCAGGGACTGTTTCTGCCTTTCACTGAATCTCCTGTGCTTAGCACAGTGCCTTGTACACAGTAAGTACTGAACCAACCCTTGTTTCTGACTGACTGAGAACACTAAGTCACGGGAATCAATACAAATACAGGCCTACAAGTCTATTCTCTTATCTCCTGAGCAATGGCTCTTAAAGGTCTTGCTGCTTCTAACTGAACTCTGCAAACGGTTGTGTTGCAAGCAAGTAACATGACTTCCTTCCTAATCGATGCTTTTTACTCTTTTCCCATTGCAGGATGTTTTGGAAACTTTCTCTCTCCTTGTTCCTGGTAGCAATGCTGGTGAAGGTGGCTGAAGCCCGGAAAAACCGCCCCCCGGGAGCCATCCCCTCCCCATATAAGGACAGCAGCAGCAACAACTCTGAGAGGTGGCAACATCAGATGAAGGAAGTGCTGGCTTCTAGCCAGGAGGCCCTGGTAGTCACCGAGCGGAAATATCTGAAGAGTGATTGGTGTAAGACCCAGCCCCTAAGGCAGACGGTCAGTGAAGAAGGCTGTCGGAGCCGAACCATCCTGAACCGCTTCTGTTATGGCCAGTGCAACTCCTTTTACATCCCTCGGCATGTGAAGAAGGAGGAAGAGTCCTTCCAGTCCTGTGCCTTCTGTAAGCCCCAGCGGGTCACTTCTGTACTGGTAGAACTAGAGTGCCCAGGGCAGGACCCACCCTACCGCCACAAAAAGATTCAGAAGGTAAAGCAGTGCCGGTGCATGTCTGTGAACCTCAGTGACTCAGACAAACAGTGAATGGCCACAGTGGCAGGATGCTGCTCAGCATTTGGGGGGTCCCCTCGCCCCGCCTCCTGTCAGATTTGCTGCTGCCTCTATCCCTTTCCTCTGAGCAGATTCACGCACTGGCTGGTCCCTTACCTTTCAGAAGGCAGTTCTCTTGGGGGGTGCAGGTTTCCATGTCACCCGTGACAGGAAATAGAAGCTTGGCTTATGTGTTCCCAGGTGCCTCTTGGCAAGATTCCTGCCTCCAAGACCAGGCTGTGAAGCAAGCCCTAAGGAAGAAGATGGAAAACAGTCACCAACCAAAAAGAAAGAAAGAAATTGGAAGGATAGTTTAGGTGATGCACTGTTAAATCCAGCATTAACGTTTCCACTGTGTGGGAAAAAAAAAAGAAAAGAAATGTATCTCCTTCTCAACCCTACACTCCAAACATATCCATGTGAAGTGAAAGATGCCTCTATGGCTTCACTGTCAATGGATTTCCCAACTGGGAGCTTTTCACTTTGTGGATTTCATGCCACCACTGCTGCCTGAGGCTCTGATGTAGACAAGCACATGGTTCAAATGAAAACAAAACAAAATTATGGGGAGACTCTTGACAAGCCTGATTGCCAGAAGACGCTGAGAGCCCTTTGAACCAATGATTTGGCTTCCCTAGGCGACGTTGCTCAAGTCAAAGGATCTTAGGATCATAGCTCACAGCTCTAGCGCTGGAAGGGACCTTTCAGGTCATCTAGTCCAGTCCTCTTATTTGACAAACGAGGAAACTGAGACTTGGAGAGGCAAAGGGATTAGGCCAAGGTCGCACAAGTAGTCAGTGTTAGAGGCGGGATTAAACATGGTTCTCTGACTCCAGATTCACTGTACCATACTGCCGTCTCCCTCCCACCCTAAAGCATGGGTTGGTGTCAGCTTCCTACCCTCTTTGTCATTGTCCCCCCCCCCCCCATTCATGGACTTGAGACAGATTTTGGTTTTGCATGCTTTGTTGCTGCAGTTAGAATATTATTGCACACAAAGGTCTCTCCATTAACGCTGGTTTTTATAATCAACCTGTAGTAAAGAGCTGTTAAAAGTAAAATCATCCTATCCACGTATTGTTTCATGTGTCGATTTTGACTCTGGCATTGGATGACAATTCTGAGTAAACACCAAGTTGCTGGGGTTGGAGTCTTCCTCCACATGGACCAGCTTCATGGTAGCCGGAGGTGCAGAAGCTTTCCTTGGAAATATTTCCCAGCCAGCCATTCATTGCTAAATATCTATGCTTAGGGATGGGCAGGGTGGGAGAAACACTAATTTCACTTAAGGTACTAGAGCATCTTGGCACAGGGTGGGGGGAGGGGGGAGGGTTAGGGTGAGAATGAATGGGGTTATTTGTTAAGCTGAAGAACAAATGCCCCCTTAACTCTTAAGGTGTTTAGATACAAGAAAGAACACTATTTTCACTGCCATGACACTAAGCATAGACCTTTCCTGCTAAAAAGAAAGAGGAATTTAAGAGACAAAGGATTTGGGACATTTTTCTATGCAGAGAGATGAACAATGAAATGCATCCAGTTAAAAGTAAGTTAAGCCATTAAATCAGGGATTCTTAACCCTTTTGTACATCTCATGGACCTCTTTACTAGTCTGATGAAGCCTAGGGATCCTTCTCAGCATATTGTTTTAAAATCATAATGAATGGAAATGCTAACTTTAATTTGGAGATTAGTAAAAAAAAAAATTACCCATTCATCTTCAGGAGTACCTTGAAATCTATCCCCTTGGGAGTCCAAGGATCCCAGGTTAGGAACCTTCATATTAAAAACTAGACACATGGGAGTTCCTGGGACAAAGTTTTAACTTTTCCCAAATGGGCTCTCATTTTCATTGTGACGTATAAAATTTTCCACATTAGTCAATTGGCCAATAAAAGTCTAGGTAACTAAAATGATTCATTTAAGTTCAGCAAATAATTTTTCTTTGGGGGGGGGTAGGCAATGGGGTTAAGTGACTTGCCCAGGGTCACACAGCTAGTAAGTGTTATGTGTCTGAGGCCAGATTTGAACTCAGGTCCTTCTGAATTCAGGGCCGGTGCTCTATCCACTGCACCACCTAGCTGCCCCTCAGGAAATACTAATTAAGTGCCTGTTTACTTACAAGTCATCATGGTAGGAAGTGGCGTTACAAAGACAAAAAAATGAAATATTCTTTCAAAAATATTTTCAAAATATGAGGTCCCTGGCCTCAAGAAGCTGACATCCTACAGGTTCTTTTATAGATTTCAACAATACCCTGTTTCTCTTTGTGAGAAAGAGGATTTATAAAATCTTACAAATGGGAAAGAGTTGCATGTTTATTGGACTTAGCATCCTCTGAAACAATTTTGAGTCATTTCTCAAGAAGTGACCCTCTTATTCCCCCAAGCTTCAACTGTTAAGAGACTCCTGCTAAGGAGGTTCATGATGGCTCAGTTCCCTGTTTCATGAGAGAAATACTCTGTCTGAAACTGTGAGGATTCATTTCTTTCTGACATTCACCAATTAAATTTAAAAGGGTCTTCACAGGATTTCAGGGGAGGCCTGGGGAGGTAGAAGTCATTATCCTGTTTCCTTTCCCAGCCTCACTACTTTAATTTCTATGAATGATTCATATTTAAGAGGATGGGGAATGTGGTATTGAACAGATAGTTGACTTCAGCACCTGCCTTTGACATGCTTCTCAATTAAACATGTGGTGGCCCTAAAGGTAGCAGCACTAAATCACAATCTCTGTGAAGGAAGCTGGGGAGTGAGGTTGGGGGTAGACGTAGGCAGGTGAGAGCAGCAGGAGAAGGAGGATGGACAAATCCTACTTAACTTCAGAACTGACATTCTTATACTTAGTGATGAATTAAAAGCAAGATTCTGAGATTACGAAGGTCAGCAGAAAAGCTGTGTAAGAAAGGAATTCTGAGGAGCCTATTTGGGCATCCTTTGGTGACTCTCTCTTGCAAAGCCAATCCCTGTGACCAGTTAGCAGAAGATCATGCAGATTAAGCTATACATAAACACAACACAAACGTGCACACTCTCCAGGGGTATCAATGAAAGCGATATGATATGCTTCAGTGTGAAGCCCTTTCTGGAGGTTATTGTATGTAAAAACTAAGTTTACCTTATAATGGTTCAAACTGTATTTAATTGTGTTTGTTTGTTTTACAAATGAAGAAAAAAGCTATAAGTATAATGTAATTATTTTATAGGTGTACTATTAAATTATAGAACAAATAAAGATACTCTAGGATTATATGTAATTGAAGTCTCATTGTGCCTTGGAAGGTTAATCGGGAAGTTGTTTGGGGTGGTGTACTCATGGAGCCCAACCTGTTCAGGACGTAAAGCCGACCAAAGGCTGCGAGTCTAGTCCCAGGCTCCAGGACTGGTGATGGCTGTGGGTAAGATCCAGAGGAAAATGTCAGGGCAGTCATGTGGCAAGAGTGACCAGGGGTGGTTTTCTGGGGTGAGATGGGTTATATAGGCCTCAGGAGCAGTCAACACTTGCAGCCAAATATAAGATCACATATGCAGGGGTAGAAGGAACAGTAATGATAGGAAGACAGTATGTTGCAAGGGTGACTCTGCAGTGAAAGAGTCTAGATGCAAACCTTAATTGACACAAAAAACTGAATAACTATGGGCAAGTTAATCAGTTAAGTATTTATGAAGAGCTCATAACATATAAAGGCATAAATATGGTCCTTACCTTCAAGAAGCTCATATTCCAATTGGGGAGACAAGATGGAGAGATTGCTATGTACATTTAAGATCTGTAAATGCAAGAGGGATACTAGCAGTGGTGGAGGGACCAAGAAAGACATCTTGTAGAAGGAAAGGTTTGAGTTGAGTATTGAAGTATGCCTGGGAAGCTAAGAGAGAGAAGTGAGGAGAGAGAATATTCCAGGAATAGGGGATAGCCAGACAAACAGTTATGTGGGGAGATAGTTTCACATTTGGGGAATATCCAGAAGGTTGGAGTTTATGGAAGGGAGTAAATTGTAAGAAGACTATAAAGGTAATAAGAGGATAAGATTGTAAAGGGATTTAAATACCAAATAGAGGAGTTTAATCCCAGAAGTGATAAATAGCTAGTACAGTTTACTGGGGAGGGGGAGGGAGGAATATGGTCAGACCTGTGCTTTAGGAAAATAACTTTGGCAGCTTAGTGAAGGATGCATTCAGGTATGGGAAGATTTGAGGCAGGAAAACGATAAAGCAGAGGGATAGTGTGATATTTCAGGTGTGAGATGATGGAGGACCTGTGCTAGAGTAGTGGCTGTGTGACTGGAGAGAAGGGGACATAGATAAGGCTTATTGCAAAAGTAGAAATAAGAAGATTTAGCAACAGATTGGATATGTTGGGTGGAAGTGAAGAATTAAGGATGACACTGACTTTGTGAACTTGGGTGAATGGGAAAATGGTGGTACCCCCAAAAATGTTGGGAAGAGGGGGAGGGTTTGAGGCAATAAAACATTCTGTTTTGTTTATGTTGGGTTTGAGTTGCCTATGGCAATTTGAGATATCTAAAAGGTGATAGAAGTTTTCTAGGCTGAGCTTCTTCATCTGTAAAATAAGGTGGTTGGATTAAATGACTCTTGAGGTCCCTTCAATTTCTAAATCTGTTATCTAATTAAATTCAGTTTACATATAGGGAAACTGAGGCCCAGAAAGTTTAAGAGATTTGTTCAAGGTCACAGAGATAGTAAATGGAAAAATAGGGATTTTGAAGCCAGGTTCTCTGCACTTAGAAACAGGACTTTTTCTACATTATCATAAACCTCTTTCTACTTATGTCTCCTTAAAAAGAGTACTGATTTCTGTTCCCCCCCCCTGCAATTTACCTCTGAGAGCAGCCTTTGGTAAGTTGTTAGAAAGTCATGTCTTTCTTCTTTACTTTTGTCCTTAGTGCCTCAGTATCTCATATTTGCCTTCAATGTACCCTCATCTGCCAAACAATAAATGGCCAATTTATCCTGAATTGTCCTTAAATTATGCTTTTTTTTTTACAGTTTGAGTTCTCTCAGATTTCTTTTCTCACGATATCACTACCTTTTCTAGTGGATGACTCGGCTACCATTCGAGGAATTAGAATAAAACTAAAGAAGGATATTTTGGGGCATGCTCATCGATATGACTCAATAAAACTATTTAATGATTTTATATTTGTTGACTGAATACAAGAAGCTGTAGCAATTTTAAGTGATAAACTCTGATGCATTTGTTTTCGAAGTTTCCAAATTGGTTTCTCAATGACACATGAGAAGAAAATTAATATGACTTAGATGACTTATCAACAGAGGGGGAAAAAGCAATAAGAAAGATTAAGAAGCTGTTTGCAGAGTCACCAACTTGCTATCTGAGTGGGATGTTTGGTGATTAAGCCTTCCACGATGATTATTGGAAAAGAAGGGTTTTTTTTTCCCCTTAAGTGGCACCATGAGAGTACATGTTAAAAAAACTTTTATATTTTGGAATATCCCCCAAAATGTCTACCCATCCAATACATTTGGTACCCATGTCCCCAAGGAATGTAGGAGTAGCAATTCAAATCAATAAACACTTAAGAAGTCCCCATAAGGTGCAAGGCATTACAGTAATGCTGTTTCTTAAATTTATTTTTCTCCCAAGGTGCCCATGAATACTAGGACAATCACCAACTTTAAACTACAGGCTAAGAACAAGATAACTTAAAAACTGTAAGGCAATTCTTTCTGTGACAATCATGGAATCTCAGTTAGAAGAGACCTCAGAAGTCAGCTAGTCCACCTGAATCGTGAATTCTTTAGTACCACCATTCTTTCAATCAACCAAGCTTGAAAAAACTTGGGTAATAGCTTGTCCTCACCAACATTCCTTCCTACCCCTATACAAATGATTGCAAGTCACACTGCTTCTACCTCCACACTATGTCTCTCTTTTCACTTCTTATTGTTTGTCCTTTGTTCTGGGAGAGGACCACGACATCAAGAAGCTGATGTCATGACTTGCAAGTGAATTGGATTTAAGCGAGGGAGGGCTGTGCAAAGTCACCAGCCTCACTTTCTCCTCCAGAGCCATCTAAGTTATAGATCAGGATGACTGGAGATGGCCCCAACTGAGAATTTACTACCGATTTCATTATTGAAGCCAACAAGTATTTATTTAGCAACTGTCGTGTGACAAGCCTTTTTGCAAAGTGCTTGGTGTATACAAAGGAAGCCAAAACAACCACAACACCGACAAACAACAGTGTCTGTCTTCTAGGAGTGTACAGTCTAATCGAGATACCCTATAAACAACTATGGACAAAAAAGCTATCTGCAAAATAAATTAGAGATATTCAATGAAGGAAAAGCAATTTTGAACTGCTTCCATGGTTTGAAAGGCCATTTTTTTTAGCCAAGCATGCCACCCTATAACTTCTGCTTAATTGGTCCTAATTCTGCCTTGTGGGGACAAAAAGAACAAAGCAAATCCCTCTTTTACATGATAACTCTTCCAACTCTTTAACAGTTGGCCCTGATCAAGCTTTTAGTGGCAGACTAAGTGGAAAGATTCTAGAAGAGAACAACTTGAAAAGAGTTGGAATGTAGGCAACGTGTCTGTATTCAGCACGAAAGATGTCAGGCAAAATTTTTACACTCTTGTAATTCAGTAGATCTTTTGATACATTGATATGGGTACTTTCTCCACAAGTGCTGATAAGGGCCTAACCATGCCTTCCTAAACTACACAATTCTTGTCTATGTCCTGCTATAAGTCCTTCAAAGAGGAATCTACCCAAAGTACAAGATATGTTCCCCTCCTGTGTACTACGAGGACTCAAATTCAGTTAAACTCTGAGCTAGGTGCTGAGGGTGCAAAGATATTCCCTGCCTTCAAAGGTTCTTCTATCTTAACATAAATAAATTTATCCATTCCTTACAAGTCTCCATAAGACTGATGGCAATACTTAAGGTCCTAGAAAAGTGGTGTCAAATTCAAACAAAAACCAATCCCATCCTATCTGCACGTTGGCTTAAGAAACAC